TTTGGATAGACTCTGCGCACGCAGATCTATGGACTCGCTGGGGAACTAGAAAAGAACGCTAGTGAACGAGTCTAGAACCAGAAGACAAATAGAGACACTGACTGACAACCAAGACCTGTTTAAGTTTTCCTATCTTACTTGGGAACACTTAGCAACATAAAATAAATAGGGACGCTAGAGGACGTGGCTTCGATACCCGATCACAGCGCCCCGCCGCGGTGGTCTAGTGGTTAAGGTACTCGGCTGCTGACCCGCAGGTCGCGGGTTCGATTCCCGGCTGCGGCGGCTGCATTTCCGATGGAGGCGGAAATGTTGTAGGCCCGTGTACTCAGATTTGGGTGCACGTTAAAGAACCCCAGGTGGTCAAAATTTCCGGAGCCCTCCACTACGGCGTCTCTCATAATCAAATGCTGGTTTTGGGACGTTAAACCCCACAAATCAATCAATCAATCAATTACCCGATCACAGCGACGTGCTGCATTTCGATGGGGGTGAAATGCAAGAACACCTGTGCACTTGTGTTTCGGTGTCCGCTGTGGAATCTTCTAACGTAGGAATCAAATAATAGTGGACCGCTTCGTCGAGCCTCAAAACCACACCGTATACAGTTTTGACACACGAAAGCTCTGAATTACAACGAAGAGCTAGATATACATGATATCAAATTGTGTTCTGTGGCTACTTTCATGGGTACAAGATTTGATTTTTTCGGTTGATCATAGTGACGGCACGCTCATACAATTATCTCTTCGTTTTGAAATGCGGAAGTGCTTCGAGGCCCTCACGTCGGCGTTGTTCTACGTATCAGCCTAATGCCGTGCAATCAGTAAGGGAGGGTCCGCAATTACGGTTCCCGCATTTTCGCTGAAACACCCCCTCCAACAAAATTTCAAAGGGCGAGCTCTTAGAACTGCCCCCTTCCCCCCCTGGCTACGGGCCCGCTGGAGAGAACCGGGAATTTCGACCATAAGTAGTGTTCTTTGAAGTGATCTTACATCGCGAAGTACACGGACCTCGATAGCATTTGGCTTCCACCAAAATTTGACTGACTCCGGCGCGATCGAACCCGCAACCGACGAGCCACCAGCCAGGCACCGTAACCATTCACCGTATCATCGAGACGGACAAACGCGTCGTTGACCTCAACCTGGCTTACCACTTGGTTTCGGACTCCTAAAGCCACTACATGACTTGCCTTCTATTATTTGCATCTGCGTTCTGGCTGTCGGGACATTCTTGTAGCTTGCGTCTATTGCAGCTTTCGCGGTAAAACTTCAACATCGTAGATTTGCTGGCGATGTAATACTGCAAAGGAGTGCAGTTGTGGTATAAAATATTTTAGCCGTGATTACAGGTCGAACGGTTGGTTCCCTCAGTCTAGGGGCCTGTTGCGTTCGACGAGCCCTCCCCCTTCACGCGGGCGCCGGGATCAAAGAAAAGCAGCCGCTTCACTTTGCGAAGATAAGGAGGAGCGCGAAGACGCCCGGCTGCTTTTCGTCTACTGGGAGGCAAGGCCAGAACACCGCGTTTCCGCCGAAGACGGAAGTTTGACCACCAGGCTGTGCGTCTCTGGCTGATGGGCCGCCGGCGCTCAAGTCAACACCAGATGTCTAGGCAATGGCTCTCGGAGACGCCGAGTCCGCGACCACCGTTCGACAAAGCATGGGTGTTCGACCCGAGCACCCCGCTCGCTTAAAGCAAGCTTCGCTGGAGGAGGCAGTATCGCCGGGACAATATGCGTGTTTGTGTTGTGTACGCATGTATGTTGAGGGCGGTGCCAGCATGATGACGCTGGGAAGGACTGTAAGACCTGTTATTGGACAGCGCGGTCCGGACACATTCCCCGTTCCAGGGATCTGGGGAGAAAGTACTTAATATAATGAGCCTCCCAGCGCCTTCGAAGAGGCTCTCGAAATGTGTATCGAGTAAATAAACTCTCTTCAGGTCTCCCTTCCTCCTGCATCGGCGTCTTCATCCCGGATCTCCGGTGCCGCAAGGGCCAGTCGCAACAGGTCCCACTGGCGATTGCGGCATGCCGAGCTTGGTCGTGTAGTGCCCAATGGTCATTCCGCACTGTGCTGGGAGTGAATAAAGAAAGGTTGAAGTTGAATGAGGGAAGCTGCACCTGAATAAAATTGTTTACTGGTATTCGAGATTGAGAGACATTTGTCGGTGAACAAGCTTCCAAGTCGGCGCAGACAACATAGATGGATTGCCGGCCTACTTGTCAATTCACAGAAATTACCAGGACCTGAAACAATCGTCAGATGGTGATCATGCTGATGAGGGTGGCGATTTGGGCTTTTTGGAATGGTAGCATGATAATATATGGTAGCGCAGACAATGGACACGGACAAGAGAAGAGAGTGTTGTCTTGAATCTGCCTTCTCTTGTTCGTGTCCTTTGTCTGCACTACCATATGTTATCGTGATCATGCTGCCTCCTATGTATATTTGTCTTTCGTCGGCTCATTTCTCGCCCCTGTTTACTTCATTTTCTTGAAATAAACAGAAACCGAGTGCGTCGTTTTCTCCACGTCTAACCTTCTCTAATTGTCCCCGGACGCTCAGGTGATTTATAATGGATGGACGAACAAAAATTTTCCACCGCTGCACGGGCACGCCTGGTCATCCATGGTGTGGCGGCTCGCCATCGCTCTACCACATTTCGCGGGGATTCCTAAACTGACCACCAAATTTATATACATTTTATAGGTCAGTGCAAGCTCTTTAATATTTTTGAGCAATGAGTTAAGCACAGCTCGCCAGCTCTGACCCAGAGGCACAGCTTGCGCTGCTTGTCCACGTCAAGCAGGCGGCAGCAGCCGTTGAAGCCCTGGACTTAGGGGCCCCACCCATCGAGCTCATAAGCCCTGTCCCACACCCTTACGAATTAAGTTATACTTCTTCTTCTGTGCATTGTGAATGATTAAGCGCAAACACATCTCAAGTAATTTGGGGTGAAAATATATTTCACGAATTTGTTATGGATGCAATAAACCGAGATTCATTCAATAATTCACTTAAACATCAAGTAAAATCAGTTAACACTTTCACGTGCATTATAACAACTCGTTCTAAACTACTAAAGCTAGACGCGTCTTGCAGCCTTGCCGAATGGCAGCTTGTTTAATAGTATAGCATCTGGCTGTTTGATATAGTGGGCAGTTTTTGAATAGGGTGCGTAGAGATAGCGTTGTACGATACGCAATTTTCGTCACTCATCGTGGATACCGAGGAGATAGTGTGACGCATGTACGCTTGCCGGGGTTCACCAAGACATCACTGGCACGTATGTGTAGGTCGGTAATATGCACTGCGAACAGATGACAAAAAAAACTAGAAGAAAAAATGGTGCCTTCTATGACGGGGGAATCAAACCCGCGACTTCTTGGTCCACGAAGACATCTGCCCGGTGCTGCACAACCGGTGCCACCGACGCACACGCACAGGGGGGCTTTACAAGCGTGTCTTACATTCTGCACCAACGTTGCAGAGTGATCTTCGTTGGTGGCGCGGTGTCGCCATCTAGAAGCGATGAAGTACTGCATCGTGACAATAACGCGCGCCGACAGGGAGCGTTTGAGTATTTTCAGCGCGCAAAAGAGTCTTTTTCTACTTCTCAAGATGGCGCGTTGCCAGAGCTTGGGGAAATTTCCCGTTTCGTTAAAATCTGGCGATCCTGCATGACACCCATAGTCGTGTTCAGGGTTCTTTATAATAAGGGCGAGGGGGAGATCAAGTTGCGTTACACCAACCTCCCCCCATCCCTCCCCCCGCGCGCCGATTGGTAGAGTCCGAATGAATGCTCAAATCAAAATGGAGCGATGTCGAGCTTTTCAAAACAGCCTGCTTTTGGAAGTACTTCTTGAGGGGATAGAGGATGAAAGCTTCCGTATTGCTAGCCAACACGCACAAGCACTGCACACCGAGAAAGACACAGGACAAGCGCTAGACTTCAACTGACTTTTAGTCAACATGAAAGACAATATATAGCCTTTCAACAGGGTACATGCAAGTGCCACGTAGGTGCGCGGCACCTGCGTGTGCCCTATTGAAATCCTATATAGCCTGTCTTTCGTGTCGATTGGAAGTTAGTTGCAGTCTAGCGCTTGTCCTGTCTCTTTCTCGGTGTGCATGCTTGTGCGTGTTGGCTAGCAATACGGAAGCTTTCAGCCTATAACAACTTACCCAGTTACTTCCTTCAATAGTTGGTGAAGAATATAGAAAGGAAAAGCACAAGTTTTGGACATCGCAAAAGTAAGGCGCTCATTTTGTGGTCTTATTTTCGTGGTGATTGAAAGTAGCAATCTTTCCTCACAAGAATCCTGGCTTTGAACCCTGGCTTTGAAGCCCGCCTTTTCGTGAGTAAAGTGGCGAGCAGTAACCAGTTGTTGGAATGCCATATTATAGAGTGACTTGGAAACCTTTCGAGCCACTATAGCGATATCAAATGTCCTCGGCCGCCATGGAGCGCGAAAAAAAAAAACTGTGTGGAATGGCACAGTATCAACTTGGCAGACACGTTGGGCAGACATGGCACCCTCCTTCAATTCGGTGTGGTCCGCCGGTCCCCCAATACCTCTTAATATATGAAATAAAAATTTGAAGAGAGAATAAGAATACCCGATTCGAAATGGGGACCAGTCCGTAGCTGTATATATATACGTGTTTCTGAAATCAGCTGCTCTGAATTCTATCTGAATGCCTTCACAGTGTCGCTGTTTATGTCGGCTTTAATCCAGGGATTCTCGTTTTGGAAAGATGTAGTATATCGTTTCAAGGAAATCATACTGCACTCTCTAACACAAAATTTAGGCAAGAAACTGAAAAACAAAATGCTAGTCTGGCTCTCTTTTAGTAAACAATCTCCTGCCTCCCCTCCCAAAGAATTATTGTTAGAACACTAGCATCAGTTAAAGATGACTTGGTGTTTACTTTTGAGCTGCCTTTTTTAACGACGGCACGCAAGTGTGCGTGAGGGAGAAACACACAACACACTTTTCTCTTTTGTTCTTTAATGGCTGAATCGAAATCGTCAAGCGGTGAAGGAATGGTTAAAAAAAACTACGAATGGTAGATATGCCTAGATTAAAAGTGAGCGTTGTTGAAAGAGGATGGCACTCATGTGGGAAAAAAAATGTCAACGTCATAGTGACAAATCCTAAAACTCTCCGCTTCTCTCAGACAGGGCTTGACCAGCGTCGTTGGCACCGATGAAACTTACAGTGTCGTTGAAGAAAGAGGCGAGTAGCTAATGACGCGGTGACCATAATTTGCCGTAGTGAATGTTCGCCACGTGGGGCCACGTGCTTTGGAAGACTATTTCGAGACCGCAGCAGGAAGACGAAGATCGGCGAGCGGACTTACCCGTTCTTGTGGCCTCAATGTTACTTTTCCTTCATCATTTTTTTTGTTCGTCATGCCAATTCGCAACTTTCACAGATGGTGGCGTCGTCATGCGGCATCCGTCGTAACTGTCGTTTGGGGGATGCCCATGCAACCAGCCCATGCCATCATTCACTCGGCCTCACTTTGGCAGCTTGCTGGTGTTTTATATTTTGTCGCTGGTAATTTCTACTGCGGTTATTGTGAAGTCAGACAGTTACTGCGAGTCGTAGTAGCAATGATTTAATATTTATTGTTTGCTTGCTGAGCTAGAAGAACCACAAAATATGTTGGATGCCGCTGTGCAGACATCCGTGCAGCCAATGGCGAGGTTACCTGCTTTGCACGAGCACGGCCGCTTGGTCTTCCCCGGCCGTGGCACGAGCCGCGTTCACAAAGCTGTGCACCGCAGCAGACGACGTGCCCGGCGTTCGAAACTTCTTTTCCGTAAATATATGCCGCACACGCGTTTCTCAACACGCAGTGTGGGATATAATACATGCTAGGGTCAATTACCTTCTCAGCAAAGCCTTGACAACACGGTGGCTGCAGCCGAAAATACTACACAGGTCGAAGTGACGGGCACGCCGGTGGCGCCTGCCTGCCAGCGCGCCGGCTGCACGATCCCCCAAACGACAGCCATGTTGGGCTTACACCAGTGCCCTCTCTAGGCGGTGAAAGTTGCGAATTCACGCTTACTAATGACAATTAACAACTACACGTGTTAGTCACTAAACATAAGTCTTCATTACAACAATGCCTACGGCGCTGACTCATTTGAATTAACGCATAGCGCTGGTCGAAAGGTACACACTTGCAGGCTCGTACACTTTCGGGGTGAACACGGCTCAGCGTAGCCGCACTCCGCGGAGCGCCAGTGTATCTATCACGGCCCAGATATCTATGCGGCGCATGCGCACCAGGATCGTGTCGTCTGCTACAGCCCTGGAGCGCACCGACGTCGCATTTCTGTGAAGTAGAGCAAAAGCGGCACGTCCCTTTGCTTCTGCGCGTATTCGGTTCGGTACGCAGCCGCACCCATGAGTTTCCTAAAATTAACTAGAGGGGACTCTGGCACTGCGACCGTTCAGCGACCCTGGGAATGATGGCTAGTACACACATTTGCCTAGTCTTCGTACGCATGCGGGGGCGGATCGTACTTGCGGCTTCGTTTGCTGCTGTGTTTCGGTTTTGTTTTGAAAGAAAGATTCAACACTTTTGAACTTCGTGACCCAATTTGAAAGGTAAGTCGCAAAAATAGGGTGGTGAAGCGTAATCGCTGAACATTTGCTCATTTTTGTTTCGTGAGAAAACAGCTTAAAGCCACACGAACACACACGGAGGCAAAATAAGGCCAGAAGTACGAAGTTTAGACAAATGTGTGCACTACCCATCATTCCCATGCTGACTGAAGCGCCGTGCGTTGCAGCTCCCACAGACACTAGCGCCAGAGTTACCTCTAGTGTATATTAGGAAACTCTATGGCCGCACCTACATGCCCTGGCGCTCCACGGAGCGGGACCACGCTGAGCCATGTTTACTTTCAGAGCGGACAAGCCCGTAGATTATGCAGATGGTTGCGAGCCGTACTCACAACCCAAAGTCACCATATTTTCGACCGCGACATGAAAGAGGTATTGTTGAAACGCAGTGTACAACGAGAGGGACGATTTGAGAGCTTGCATAAAATGTACCGATGACAGCTATACTTCTAGTTTGGCACTTTTATACGCCGGTCTTTGGCAAGTCCGCGAGCGAAACAAAAAGACTCGCGCTGTATCTTTGGGCTACATGGTACTCGATTCCCTCCGTGAGGGCCAAAACAAACAAACATGTGAACAAATGAAACGATTCGGCGCCACGTATGTTTAAACTGCATATAACAACAAATATGTCGCAATAAAAAAAAGCTTAACTTGCACAAAGTCTGACAAGGCGGCGTTCTGCTAATGGGCGATGTCGGATGTTTTCAGAAAGCGCGAAGGAAAGCCCTAACGAGCGAACGTATACATATACCGAGACCACTTCGTGTGGTCTGCCGAGAACGGAAACTCAACCTGCCCGCACTGTTCATGTATTATCATGAGGGTGATTACATATAGAATACGGCAGAAGCTCTGGTGGCGATAGCTTGTGACATAACGTTCAACCAGGGCGCGTTACAAAAACGCTACTGTTTTGTGACAGTGTTGTCGCCGGCTCGAAGACACGTGGTAACGGACATTGGTAGCAGCGTAACTGGGAGCTGGTAAACCGGGCCCTCTCAGAAATGTCTGCCTACCATACTATGACCGAGCGCAAACCGGTGCTCGACAACACTGGCCAATTCAGCCCTCACATGCATGAGGGTCACGAGCTCACGCACCAACAAATGAAAAAGTTATTAGCCATGCCACTGATCGTCGGTACCAATGACCACACAGCGGCGCTATGTAGGACATCTTGCTTGGAATTGTGCGCACATAACTTAGGATAGGACGACGCATGCCATTTAAAACAATGCGCCTCAATGGAGCTTGAGTCCATATAAGCACATTCTACTCAACGTCACAAGATAACGCTACCAGCGCGGCTGCTCACGTTTGCGTCTTAGGCATTCATGTATTGCGTACAGTGATAACGAGTAGGCGGACAAGCGAAAGGTCCTTGCTCTTAAATTAACCCGTCGCGAGACGGCTAACAACGGCACTAACGACTAGTTCGCACGGTATATCGGTAAAAGAAAGTTCGCGTTCTACGTTCAGAAAAATGATGATTTGATCAAGTCAGGCTTTGCAGCCATATAGATTGGTAAGGCTGGATTCACTTTCCTACGCTAAGGTACCGAACACTGCACGCTATTCCTACTCCAAAAGAGGGACAACCTTGCATATCTCGAAGCCAAAGCGGGCAGTAGATGAGGCGGCCGGTATGCGCCCACGCACCAGCTCCAGCGCGGCACAACCGTTAATTAGAGTTCCGTGGCAAAGGCTAGCAAGGGATTTCTCCCATGTCTGTCATCGCCAAGTATATCACATTTGTAGAACGTCCCCCCTATTTACAAGTGCAGCTGTAGCACTAGTAACCACCGTCACGCAAAACCAGTAGCATTGTCGAATTGCCAGGGAAACTCACAAGGATAAAGTAATAGCGCCGTAGGTGCCTATATATACACCTCGCGACCCGGCAATGCTATTGCTTAAGCGAGTTGACTCCGCTGGTCAGCGCTCTGGACCGTCAATAAGCAGTTGGACTACACCAGAACCGCCAACATCAAATCAGCTCTCCAAGAGTTCTCCGGCAATAGCAAAACTTCTGTAGCCAGTTGCTGACGCAGTACGACTGGCCCGAGAACCAGTTGCAGCGGCTGATCTCTTTCAGCACCGTCACATTGTCTCCTTGTACACGCACCGTGCCCTCAAACACTGCCGCGCCCGGCGAAAGCTTGATGGTCACCCAGTAATGGCTCGTGTTCGCCGCACGCTCAGCAGGGGTCGCCCGAAGCGCCGTCACGTCCATGATTTCGAGCAGCCGGTACTCTTCGCACAACCGCACGGCCTGGGACACCCATCTGTTGATGGTGGACATGAATTGGTTTGCGAGCATCGAGGCAACCTCACCCGTAACGCTGGCGTCGGCGCGGGCATCACACACGCACCAGTGGTGAGAGATGGACGCGTCAGAGCACGTCCTTGTTTCGGGTATTTCGTGCAGCAGGCTGAGCCCGTACGTGGAGTTGGGTCGTTCGGCATTGGGGAAGTCCAGCAGCTCGACGAGCATGGCGTGCACGTCGAAGTGAGTCGTCAGGCGGTGCTGATTGGCGCGCAGCGTGCGCGCCACTTCTGGGTTCTGCCGCAAGAACCACGGCGGGAAGACGACGAAGGCGAACGGCTGGCGGTCCTCGAACTTGCCGATGTAAGTTGCCCGAACGTCACCAAACCGCAAGCCGTGGTCGCTAAGGAAGACGAGAACGGTGTGGTTGAGCGTGCCGGAAGTGTGCAAAGTTTCTAGGTGCCGCCGGAACGGCTCGTCCGCGTAGCCTGCGCTATTCAGCGAATCGTGCGTGATCTCGCTGATCCAGGTGTACGAAAAGAACGGTCTGTCTCCCATCACGTCCGTGAAGCGGGCGAGGTAGTCCAGCAATTCTTCGAACGGCATCGTAGGCCCTAAACAGCGGACGCGTTGCCAATCTTGGGTTTTCTTTGGTGAGTCGTCCATGGCCTGAATGACATGTCGCAGGTAGTAGTCAGCCGGAGCTCGCCGGAAGCCCTGGCTGAAGTAGTTGAAGAGGCCGTAGAATGGCGACTCCTCGAGAAACATGGTCCGGTAACCCCGTTCTCCATACAGCTGCCAAATGAAAACGGCTACTCAAGTCATCGTAGAACCCATCTGGAGCAGCTTTGGTTGCTTCGTAGTCCTTGAGGCCCAGGATGAGGGGAACCTGATTCGGGTACGAGTTATCTCCTAACTTATTATATCCATACAATTCGAAACCGCCGAGATTCTCACGAACATACTTTGCAGTCTCTGGTAGGTGCCTGTCCAAGTTTAAGTAAGAGACCGAGTCGAGACCGAGAACTAGAACGCTCAGGTTGTGGGGCGTTCCAACAGATGCCGCGCGACAGCGTTCCTCAACACTCTCTTTGATCACAGCATTGAGAAGGAATTGGTCATGAAATGGTCGGTCCGGAGACTGGGTCGTGGCACATTCCACGAAGAGGAACTCCTTTTGAAGTGGTTCGTCAAACTGGAGCCGTTCTCTGTTCCCGTAGAGGTACCTCTCGTCGGGTTTCTTCAAAGATTCATTTCGGTAGATTTCTTTGTAGAAGCACAAGAGGTCCTTTGGAAGCACGCCATGTTCTTTGAGATTCTGGGTAATCACAGTCGGGTATCCATCCCTGGAAAACAACAAAGAAAATGAGTATTAGTGCCTGGAAGCACATTTTCTGTATTAAGTATTACTACCAAAAACAGGTCTCAAAAGAAGCATCAAACACGAATATTTCTATCAACTATCTGAATGTTTGAAATTACACCTAATTGACCCTTACACTTGATTTTACCGAGTGACAAACAATACACTCGGTAAAATCTGAGCGAAAATAGTACACTCGAAACATCACTTCACCGCCTGCGGCTCGGTACAGAATTTACGGGCCACTTCCTACGCAGGATGAAGCGTGCGTCTAATTCTCAGTGCTCATGTGGCTACCCAGGCGATAATTTACACCATTCACTAGTAGTTACAGAAGCATAATTCAGCACAAAAGCTACTACAAGCAAGTTGTTACGCTTTTAGATAGAAGACCATTTACTACAAAGTATGCACTATTGGTCCATGGCTACCAGCTGGTCTTAAGCAAATACCACTTGTCGAATTGAAGAAGTGTCTAGAAGAAATTTCTTGAAGATTTTATAGAAATCTCAACGCACACTGTATATACTAGAAAACGTTGCATAATTTTAATATTGGTTCATGATTGTGTCATTTTCGTATCGTGTGTTTGATGCGATATCATTGTCTGAGCGTGATTTCCTGCGTATGTCAAGTCGTCCGGAGGTTTCCGGAAGGGACCTATGGCACTCCTGCAAGGATGGTATTGGAAACTTTTTCTTGCACAATGTAGTAACGTCAATCACAAAAACAAAATAAATTTAATACTCATTTGTTTACACCAACAAACACCTTAGGATGTTTAGAACGACAGTTTCACTGTTCCCCGCAAGAACCCAGAAAACGCCTCGTCCAGTGAATATGACTTCCAAGGTAAGCCAAGGTCAGTTTAGAGAAACCCGCTTAAGCAAATTCTCTCTCTCTCTCTCTCTCTCTCTCTCTCTCTCTCACACACACAGACAGACACACACACACACACACACACACACACACACACACAGTTGCGATTAACCACTTTTCAGTTGCGATTAACCACTTTTTCTTTTTATCCTTAGTTCTTGTTACGTGAAACACGCTGTACATCTTAAAATGCACATATCTGAAGAAAATTCCTGTGTGAGGTGGCGGCAATAGCTGTGCCTTACTTGAGTAAGTCTTCGACACGTTCCACTGTGGCCATGGAAAGGAATGAACCAGATACTGACGAGAAACAGAAACAGAGGAAAAGTGGCAGAGGATAATGGAAAGGCAGTAAGCTAGACATAGACCAGAAGTAACAGAGTGTAAAGAATAAGAATGAAGGGTCAAACATAAGCCACGAAAAAAAAATTGATAGGGAGAGGAAAACAAACAAAAATTGATACAACAAAGAAAAACAAGGAAGGAAGTAGCATGTGCATACCTTTTGCGTCGCGAGTTCAAGGTGTGTCTTTTGGCTCCCTAAGACTGAAACGCTTTAGGCACACAAACGACACTTTAAGATGCGGACAGAATAAAGCGCGCTAAAAGCTTCATTATTCTTTCCAGCGCTCTAAGCAAGTACTTACAGGGGCCTGCCTTCAAAAGTAATCGAGCTTACCGTTTCCTCCAAGTGTCCCTCCATGAAAGGGTCACACTTGGGGTGCATGATAAAAGAGCTAGGCACCCAGACACGTAGACCTAAGCAGATATCTGGGCAAAGCACAATATTTTTGTTTTTATGATATATTCTTACGTATAATTGCGTCTTCACGCGTACCTTACTTTATCCTTACCAGCTATCCCCACTTTTTGTCGTAGAGTATATGTGGATCACACGTGGATCGTCCTGTAGATGTGGCTAATCCACGGTAGAACACGTGATATAAAACAACATTGAACAAAATATCCCACTGTACAGCTCCCACTTCCACGTCAGGGGCGTAGAAATTCCTGCCTGCACTGATGTACCTTCAACTGCGTGGATAAACCACAACCTTTACGCACACAACTCCCCCATGAGAATCGTCCAACACTTGCTTCGCTCCACGGTGATCCTGTAAGGTGCCGAACACAAAAGGTAACCTCACCTGATAGTAAGGAAGTTTGGTTTTCCACCACATCGGCGCGTCTCCGAGCGGCGCTGGAAGTAAGGCCTGATGGAAGGGTCGAAGGGGTCAAATTGTGGCAACGTGCAGCCCGGGGTTCGAATCCGGTAGCCCACGGGCGCGGCCCGCTCCCAGGCGACTGCAGCGGAGCCCGACCCATCAGCGGACGAGGACCACAGTGCAGCGGACCGTGGCGCCCACAGGTAGTGGCCCACGCTGTACAGAAGAAGCACGTTGAGCGCCGTCACCAGCAGGAACAGGGGCCGGAAACGAGGCAGCCAGGGTAGACTCATGACGGCTTCTGATGCGCGGTTGTGGCTGCCGCTGTTTCCTTTGGTGGGGAGTGCTCAGGTGACCTCATTCTGCAAACACCGTTGGTCGTATACGTGTGAGAGGCATGCGATCCCTAAACACCGAGGCCTTGTCTACAGCTTCACGCTGTTCATGTTGTAGACGTTGTTCATGTTGCAGAGTGCAGCTTTCACAGAAACCGAAAAACAATGACCGAGAGCAGCAGCAAAAGTGAGTAATGCTGACTTGAGTCGGTGAGGCAGCGCCGATTGAAGTCACACTCGCAACGGTTGTGTGTCTGTGATAGTCCTCTCTATTATTGTATTAGCCCGCGTTTACGTAAGCGCTGCACGGTTTACGAGATGAACACGTACCGACTGTGATGATCTTGACTGGTCAACGGTCACAGTTGCGCCGAGTATTGCGGTTCGAGCTCAACCTTTCCATGGTGCAAGCTCATTATTTCTGCATCTGCTGCTCGTACTCTGGCCGCCTGCTTTTATTGATAAGTGGGGTTTAACGTCCCAAAACCACCATATGATCAAGAGAGACGCCGTAGTGGAGGGCTCCGGAAATTTACACCTGGGGTTCCTTAACGTGCACCCAAATCTGCGCCTCCGTCGAAAATGTAGCCGCCGCAGCCGGGATTCAATCCCGCGACCTGCGGGTCAGCAGCATAGTACCTCAGCCACGTACTAGACCACCACGGCGGATCAATCTGGCTGCCTGCTTTTAACGGTCCTACCCAGACCGTTAGGAGTTAATGCTAAACACTCTTGAAGGCACTGCATTTGTCTCTCTATTCGTGGGAACGTTGTCACAGACTCGACAAATAAACTAGAGCACTCATACATCGCGATGTAGTGTAGTTAAGTTTGTCATAAACTCTACGGGCGGGCTTCATCAATCCGGGACGGACCATATCGGGAGGGAATTCATAGACGTGAGAGACGGGGAGGGGGGAGGACGTGCGTGTCGCTCTATGGAGTCGGCTTGCGAGTGGAATAGGGCTTGGGCTGACTTGAGTAATGGCGGCCGCAATGAAGCGAGATCCGCAGATGAACGACCGGTGTGAGTGCGTGTGCGCGCGGAGACCGGTGCCCAGTGCGCTGGTCGTTCGCCGGGTGTCAATCATGCGAGTGCCGCCAGAAAGGCCGCCCGTCTACGACGTGACTCCCAGCTCTCGGTAAGCCGTTCGCGACGCTGGCTTACGGCCAGCGCTGAAGTACGCCTCTCGAGACGGATAAGTCACGTTTTCGCGAGGGGAGGCTGTGGAATAGCGCGAGCGTTCTTTACTGCAGTTTATTTTTTCCCGGATCATGGACCGACTTGACGAAGCCGGGCGCACTGCGAAACGTTTATTTTGGCAATCTGCTGATTTGTGGGGTTTAACGTCCCAAAACCACCATTTGATTATGAGAGACACCGTAGTGGAGGGCTCCGGAAATTTTGACCACCTGGGGTTCTTTAACGTGCACCCAAATCTGAGTACACGGGCCTACAACATTTCTGCCTCCATCGTATGTTGGCAATCTGCGTGCATACAGGTTCGTAGACGATTCGTCAGTGAAACACATCGAGAGGCTATAAAAAGAGAGTGAAGAAAGACACGCGATCAAATATTTCTACGAGCACGAGTGGGTCATAGAAAAGAGCAAAGGCGTGGTGACATGGACGCGAGAGAAATCTAGTGAAACACACAAGAAAGCATAGAGACGTCGCTCCACTGTTAAAGGAAACACTCGAATAAGCACCTTTCATATTACTGGCTGCCCCTGCAAGTGGATGTAGAAACATTGCTCATGCACCGAAGTAGGCTGTGAGAACTGTAAACTACCTCTTATGCAAAACAAAACGACTATGCTGTTGCGAAAAAAGCGAAATCCATACATCGTCCACACTCGAGTTCTTTTCTTAAACAGGGCAGTTAGCACCAACATAACAGTGCAATTAGTCAAAATGTAGTTCATTCAAGTTTTCTTACGACACGCGTTGCACATTCAAAAAAATTATAGCCGACAAGTGCGCAAGGCACATCCATATATGAGAACAACAACTCGTTATCGCAACGTGCGCCGAAATACGTTGTCGTTCCAGTCATTTTCTTTTCTTCATGTGACTAAAAGGTCGTCTTCATCTGTTTTAGTACAAGAAAGTCGATCGAACAGTGTAAGCTTGCAATGAATTTGACAGCACTGAAATAAATATTGGAGAAAAAGTTTTATTGTTAGTCTCAAGCGGAACTCCCAACATAACTCGGTATACCGAGCACGCGCCGCGGCAGATCAGTGGTTACCGTGCGCGGCCGCTTACCCGAAGGTCACCGGGTCAATCCCGATCACGGCGATCACATTCCGGAGGACCCGAAACGGCAGCGGCGCGTTTACTGTGCTATGTCAGTGCACTTTAAAGGACGCCAGATAGACGAGATGCCTTTGGCACCCCTCGTAATCATACCGTGGTTTTGGGACGTAAAAAATCAATATTATTATTAGCTCAGTATAACGCGCTGCCAAGTCGTCCATGAAACGTTTATAAGCAGTGTATTTAACTTACCAATGTTGGCGGCTGGTCTACTTGCGCTATCATGTTGCATATATATGTCAGGGTAAAAAACAAAGCCGTATGTCATGAGGGAAAAAAAAGTGCCCAACTCGTGCTACCAAACAACTATAGAAACGAAAGAGCTTCAATCATTTTTTTTTTCCATTGTAGTCGTTCAGATACACATGAGAAATCTACAAGAGCTACGTCAGTATCTGAGACGCCTGTTTCATATGAACTATTTTACAGACGTTTATCAGTAGCGTCACGTATAGTGCTATAGACTTTGCCATTTTGTCTCGATGGTAGACCCGTAAGAATGTAAACGTGGTTTGGTTGGTGCGTTCTACGTTCGGCGGCCTTATTAATCCACGTCACGATATACAAAGATAAAAAAACATTGATTTAACAGCCTGCGGCGTCTTTGAGTCCGACGTAAAATCTTTTATAGATGCTACAACATCTGTAATCACCGGGTCTTAATAAGCGGCCCATAAAACGCATGAGCGCGCTGACGCTCTTTCTTTCCTGCCCGTATCTCCAGACGGTTTCGCCATCCTTTGTACTACAATGTACGTCTATAAAACGTATTTCAGTAGCCATTACGCAAACTGTCGTGCAGAGCGCACCGTTGCGGTCTATTTGATAAGCACATGGCACGGGCTACTTTCACAAACGCGCCAGAACACACACACCGCCACTCATTAGGAAGCACGCATTCATCTCCAACAGCCAGCGCCAAGGTTATGCATAGTATATATGCTCCCTATTTCACAGATTTTCCGCTGATTTGCTGCCGTAGCCTGACGGGCGTTTCGAAGGCACGATTCAACGTTGCTTACGGAGAATGGATTCGTATTCATTTGCGAAGGCGTGGAGGAACCTGATTTAAGGTCGAGAGAAAGTATGAATTTGACCGGCCACCTGTTAGGCCTCTCGTGGAAAGGCGCTTCTTCGCCTCAACGCGGAAACTATACGCTCGACAGTTGTTCACGCAGTGTAGTCACGAAACGGTCAATCACGCGCGCAGTTTCGCAGTGGCATGCAGTGACGCGAGACTCGCATTCAGTGACGACATTTCGCCATCCCTGCTTCCTCGTAAACGAGAGAAGAAAAATTATATGAAAGAAAGAAGAAGAGCTAAAGGAGAGTGCACCGAGCTTCAGACCGAGAGAATGAGGACAAAAAAAAAAGAAAAATAGCAGAGTGAGAGCGAGAATGCGACTGCATTCTTATTTTGAACTAATCATTAGTTTTGTTGGGTGTGCCTTTGAATCATTCTCCCGTTAAGGTTATTTATCGAGTTTGTTTCCTCGTTTCCTCGTATTGAGGCCAACAGAGCGTATCCTGTTGGTCTCAATTTTCTTTTAGACTTCTGGCGGTTTCCTATATATCCGTGTGTACAGTTGGGAAGAAAACACAGCAGACACTAGAAACAGTGGCGCATGCCCCCACAGGGGGATTGGCCAAAATCCATTAGGTCTTTGGAATAAATTTTATATACAAGGCTCAAACTTCGATTATTAAGACAGAAGAGGTATAAATCAATACAATTAGGAATAGAATTAAAAAAGCAGAACAGATTCAAAACAACCAATCCGAGAATCTGGAGAGGAAAATTTTTTGAAAAGCAAATTTTATAACCTAATTCTTTCTTTGTTCTCTTTCACTGTGTTGCGCGCGCAATTTATTATTATTATTATTATTATTATTATTATTATTATTATTATTATTATTATTATTATTATTATTATTATTATTATTATTATTAAAGAAAGATAAGGAAAACAACGTGCAGGCTGATAACTGTGACCGGAACGAACGGCCACAGTGCCCTGTGTGGTTATACGTATACTGTTGAAGTCACATGTGGTAATGGTAGATCACACTTAAGAGTGCGCGCGGTTGCAATGTGACAACCAAAAATTACCGGGTTTCGCGAGTGAAGTTCATTCACCAGTGTGGCAAGCCTAGGCGTGATACTGCGGATTTACTGCGAGAAACCGAGCTTCTTTATCGCGCACTTAAACTCAAGCGGGTGCTCCTGAATTTCGCCCCTTCTAAATGAGGTCGCGTTGGCCGGTAATCGAATTCGCGTCCTAGAGCTAAGTTGTGCGACCCGTAAATTATCAAGGGCTTGTAAAATATACTATTGTAGCGTATAAGTAACTAGTAATAGCAATATGTATATCAATATTTATTAGCGTGTCTTTGGTGTTTGAAAGAGAGTTAACAACGGCAAAAGTTTAAAAGGGTACTGAGACAGAAACTTTTCGCCTCGCATTTTTCTACTGCAATGCGTTGCTTGGGGCCTGTTGGTCATAAAACGACACATCGTTTGCTGCAGCACGCGACAGATAATTTATTGCAGGCCCCTCATTATCAACCACTTTCAGTTTCGGTTTGAGGGAGCTCCAAAAAACGACAAGCCGCCTAGCCGCCTAGTGAAACTACATCGCTACTTCGCGTGTGCAACTCTCGACCACGTTAGCACAAATAACTGTGACGTCACAAATAACTGTGACGC